CGCCACCTTAGGTGTACGTGGCTGGCGCCTTAGCCGGTTGAGCTATAGGCGCCGAGCCTATATTATGAAAATTTAATACAGACACACTGAGAACATATAATACAGAATAACTGCATTTTATTTATATATGAACAAATCTAAGTAATTCTGCTAATGTGTTATCATCAAAAGCAGTGGAGCAGGGAATGTAGCACTGTTCTTTCTCTCCATCAAAAAAACTTCAGCCGAGTCTGTCCATCAGTTCTACCAGGGACTTTTTCATACATAAGACGCTGTTTTTTGAATTGTGGTAGTTGTGAGGACATGAAACCTGTTAAAAGGAGATAAAGAAAAATCATTTTATTGCTTATCATAGTAAAGTGTAGCTATTTTTTTAAGTCATTTTCTTGTCTCTCCTCATCTATCAACAAAATGTCAAAATTTCTAAACTGTGATAAAATGATAACTCTTAAAAACTATGTCTTGGGTGGTGCCTGTGGCTTAGTGGGTAGGACACCAGGCCCATATACCAAGAGTGGCAGGTTCAAGCCTGGGCCCGGCCAAACTGCAACAAAAAAATAGCCAGACGTTGTGGCTGGGGCTATAGTCCCAGCTACTCAGGGGGCTAAGGCCAGAGAATCACGTAAGCCCAGGAGTTGAAGTTTGCTGTGAGCTGTGATACCACTGCACTCTACTGAGGGCAATAAAGTGAGACACTGTCTCTAAAAAAATAATAAAATAAAAATAAAAACTATGTCTTAAACATAAATGGAGCTGTACTTAATGGTCCAGTATTTTCTTTCTTTCTTTTTTTTTGAGACAGAGCCTCAAGCTGTCACCCTGGGTAGAATGCTGTGGCATCACAGCTTGCAGCAATCTCCAACTCCTTGGTTCAAGTGATTTTCCTGCCTCCGCCTCCCAAGTAGCTGGGACCACAGGCGCCTGCCACAATGCCTGGCTATTTTTTGGTTGCAGCTGTCATTGTTGTTTGGCGGGCCTGGGCTGGATTCGAACTTGCCAGCTCAGGTGTATGTGGCTGGTGCCAAGTCTTAATGGTCCAGTATTAACAATTAGTGGTTTTTTTTTTGACACAGCACCTCAAGCTGTCCCCTGGGTAGAGTGCTGTGGCATCACAACTCACAGCAACCTCCAACTCCTAGGCTCAAGCGCATCTCCTGCCTCAGCCTCCCAAGTAGCTAGGACCACAGGCACCCACCACAACGCCTGGCTGTTTTTTTTTTTTTTTTTGGTTGTAGCCGTCATTGTTGTTTGGCGGGCCCGGGCTGGATTCCAACCCACCACCTTAGGTGTATGTGGCTGGCGCCTTAGCCACTTGAGCCACAGGCACAGAGCCAACAATTAGTGTTAAATACACATTTTTCTATGCACCTGACTTGTACAACAGTTATTCTAAATCTCTTGGATTTCATTTTATTTTCAGTGAAATGAGAAATTATACTGTGTGATCTTTAAGATCATCTCGTTCCACTACTTTTAAGTAAAACAATCTAAATGGTTTGGGACACAGCTCAGGCAGGGCTTCATAATTCTGAAGGTTTTCAGTAGATTAATTAATCCTTGGTAATTAGGATATGAATTATAGGCTTACTTTGACTGCCTTTGAACCTAAAACAAAGACATACCATTTGATATTTGTGTATCTGTCTTTATGCTGAGAATTTGTACAATTCTTTCAGGTTTTCTTTGTCTTTTTAAGTTTGTTCTTGTTGTTGAGACAGAATCTCACTCTGTTGCCCTGGGTAGAGTACCATGGTGTCATAGCCCACAGCAACCTCAAACTCTTGGACTCACATGATTCTCTTGCCTGCCTCAGCCTCCAGACTGGGACTACAGGTGCCCACCACATTTTCTTATTTTAGGAGAGATGAGGTCTCTTGCTCAGGCTGGTCTCAAACCCTTGCGCTCAGGTGATCCACCCATCTCAGCCTCCCAAGGTACTAGGATTACAGGCATAAGCCACTGTGCCCAGCCTTTCTTATTCTGCAGCATTTTTTTCCACTTTGGGTATCCTCCTTCTGATGAACATAGGGTCATATTTCTTTTTAGGGAGGGGTTATGTGTTTAGGAATCTATCTAAATTCATGTCTTTAAAGTCATATTTGGAAAGTACATCTCTGACTCCAATTAAGGAGGTAAAGAATCCTTAAATAAATAATTAGATGAAACACAGAGAATGTGAATGATGACAGGCCCCTAGCTGCTATGGGAGAGCCTGGACTGGCACCAGTAGCATGCTGGTGTTTCACTTGGGGTGGTATCAGTGGAAGGAGTAAGGGCTGATTTGCAGAATTTGCCAAATTCTGTGGTATGAAGAGTCCTTCTATGGCTGATGTAAAGTACTATTTCTTTTCTTTTCTTTTTTTTTTTTTGAGACAGAGCCTCAAGCTGTTGCGGGGTAGAGTGCTGTGGCATTACAGCTCACAGCAACCTCCAACTCCTGGGCTCAAGCGATTCTCTCCTCCCAAGTAGCTGGGACTATAGGTGCCTGCCACAACACCTGGTTATTTTTTGGTTGCAGCTGTCATTATTGTTTGGCAGGCCTGGGATGGATCTGAACCCACCAGCTCAAGTGTATGTGGCTGACACCTTAACTGCTTAAACCACAGGTGCTGAGCCTAAAGTACTATTTCTAAACTGACATTATTTTATATGTGATTAAAAATACATTTATAACTAAGTCAATGAGTTAAAATGTAGGTAGATGTCTCTTTATTCCAACCATGTACCTAAAAGCATAAATGCTAAAATTTATTACAAAATAATTTCTGGCCTAGTACTCTGGGAGGCTGAGGCAAGTGGATTGCTTGAGCTCATGAGTTTGACACCAACCTGAGCAAAAGTGAGACCCTGTTTCTACTAAAAATAGAAAAAAACTGAGGCAAGAGGCTCACTTCAGACCAAGAATTGGAGTTGCTGTGAACTATGGTGCCATGGCATTCCACCCCAGAAGACAGCTTCCGATTCTGTCTCAAAATAAAAGGGCGGTGCCTGTGGCTCAAAGGGGTAGGGTGCCGGCTCCATATGCCGGAAGTGGTAGGTTCAAACCCAGCTCCAGCCAAAAAAAATATATATATTTCTGGGATCTTCTCATTGAGAAAATGGGGGGATTATCTTATATACTGGGGTGCCCTTTGTTGAAGAATATATAGTAATTCACATGCTTAATTTGTTTCAGAGTAGGAAATGAATGGAATTTTTATCTTATAAAAAATGAAATTGGTACAACCAGTTTATGAAATTGGTACAACCTTTATATCAAAATGTAATAAGGCACAAAGAACTCAGACTAATTTCATGAATGCATATATGAAAATCATAAATACTAGCAACCATATTTAATAGCATATTAAAACAATCATCCCTAAAAGGTGAATTGCGTTGATCACAGAAATGGGCAAGTGGATTTAATGTTAGTAAACCTGTAACTATAATCTTTGACATCAATGGTCAATAGAGAAAACACATCTGACTTTTCCCAATAGATGCTAAGAAGAATTTGGATGGTGGCTCCCATAGCTCAGCGGGTAGGGTGCCAGCCACATACACTGAGGCTGGCAGGTTCGAACTCGGCTTGGGCCAGTTAAAACAACAATGACAACTGCAAAAAAAAAAAAGCCTGTAGTCCCAGCTATTTGGGAGGCTGCGGCAAGAGACTTGCTTTAGTCCAAGAGTTTGAGGTTGCTATGACTTGTGATGCCACGACACTCTACCCAGAGCAACATAGTGAGACTCTGTGTCCAAAAAAAAAAAAGAATTTGGATAAAATTCAACATCTATTCCATACAGAAGTTCTTACAAAACTAGAGATAGAATACTTCCCATTAAAATTAGGAATGAGGCTTGGCACCTGTGGCTCAAGCGGCTAAGGCTCCAGCCACATACACCTAAGGTGGCGGGTTCGAATCCCCAGCCCGGGCCCGCCAAACAACGATGGCTGCAACCAAAAAAAAAATGGCCAGGTGTTGTGGCGGGCACCTGTAGTCCCAGCTACTTGGCAGGCTGAGGCAGGAGACTCGCTTGAGCCCAGGAGTTGGAGGTTGCTGTGAGCGTGATGCCATGGCACTCTACCCAGGGGGACAGCTTGAAGCTCTGTCTCAAAAAAAAAAAAAAATTAGGAATGAAACAAGTTATGATTAAATGAGAGCTAATCCAAGTTTTGTGAGTCCTGAGGCTTATATAATTTGGGACGCTCTCTTTCAATAAAAACAAAAGAATACAAGATTTTCTGAGGCCCTCTCTAGCCTCACAAATGGGCCTATGGAAAAGAGAAGCTTTGAAGCTTAAGCTTCTCCCCCATTCCTCATCCTTATTTTCCTTTCCTGGTAGGGTTACCTTTGTATGGTCATTAGAATTTAATTTTTGTCCTAGGTGCTTGGGCTATGCAATAAGAAATGATACTGAAAGAAAGGTAGAATCACTAGAAATAAGAAAATAAGATTATCCTTTTATTTTTATTGATTTGAAACAGGATCTGCCTCTGCCCAGGCTATTGTGCAGCGATGTAATCATAGCTTACTACAACCTCAAACTCCTGGGCTCAAGTGATCCTCCTGGCTCAGCCTCCTGAGTAGCTTGGACTATAGGCACATGCCACCATGCCTGGCTAATTTTTCTATTTTTGTAGAGATAGGTCTTGTTACATTGTCTAGGCTGCTCTTGAACTCCTGGCCTCAAGTGATCCTCCCACCTTGGCCTCCCAAATTCTAGGATTATAGGCCTGAGTCACTATATCTAGCCAAAATTGTTCTTTTAAAAATTTGATATGATTATATGTTCAGACACCCCAAAACATCCATCAAAACAGAGTTAACAGCAGTACCTATTTAATAGAATTGGCAGAATTAAAGTAAACGATCCACATAAAGGGCTCTCAATGATGGCTGGTACCTTCTAAGCTCTTAATGTTACCCACTTAAATATACTTGCTGCACAAAGAGGTTAATTTGCTGATTCATGGATTCCTCTGCTTAATATTTATTGATTTTAGTCTTCTCCTTCACTTATGTTTTTCTTTTTACTTTTAACTTTTTTTTTTTGAGACAGAGTCTCAAGCTGTTGCCTTGGGTAGAGTACCATGGCATCACCACTCACAGCAACCTCCAACTCCTGGGCTTAAGCAATTGTCTTGCCTCAGCCTCCCAAGTAGCTGGGACCACAGGTGCCCACCACAACACCTGGCTATGTTTTGGTTGCAGCCGTCATTGCTGTTTGGCAGACCTGGGCTGGATTCAAACCTGCCAGCTCAGGCGTATGTGGCTGGTGCCTTAGCCACTTGAGCCACAGGCACCAAGCCTACTTTTAACTTCTTAAGTTGAATGCTTAGTTTATTTAAAGCTACAAGAATTTGATATACCACATATTTTCTTTGCATTTATTGTAGGGTTTTGATTTTCTCTCAAAAGTTATTAGAGAATTTTTAAGTATAGTAATTAAAATAACAATTTTTTTTAAATTCGGAGGGTTTTAAAAATCTTTTGAAATAAAATTTGAGAGTAGTTGTATCAACTATTGGATAGTTGTTACCTGTTTTGTTTTGTTTTTTGATTGGTTTGTTTGTTTTTGAGACAGAGTCTCTGTTGCCCTGGCATCATCATAGCTCACTGCAACTTTAAACTCCTAGGCTCAGCCTCCCAGAGTGCTTGTATACAGGTGTGAGCTACCACACCTAGCCAGTGTTACCTGTTGATGATTCCTCATCTCTTGAGTTAGATGAAGATTCAGGATGCCTTTTCTGTCCTACACATTTGCTGGTTCTTTGGTAGAAAGAATGTCTATTTAATTCTTTTGGATTTACATTAGACCCAGAAGCACAAAGTAAATCCAAACTGGGGACAGATGATAATTTTCTCCAGAAAGTCTTTTTAGTCCCAACAGCTGAAGTTTCACATGTGAAGTCTTCTAATTCATCCAGCAGACATTTTTGCTGAGTAGTGAATAAATGATCTTTCTGGCGGTACCATTTGTCATGTGTGGTTTGCTCTATACCATTATGTAAGTTGAATGAGTCAGTCTCTCGTTCCCATAACTTTTTCTTAGAGTTCCAATGAAGAAGAGATTGAGAGGCTTCTAGTGAAAAGAGAGGGGCTGACACTTCTTTGTTTATGAATCTTTTTACTTCACGTGTTCCTTTTTTCTGATCCTGCATAAAATTCGGAACAACTCTCTTCTGAATGTCAGTTGGTGATATTACAGTTTCACAGTTAATTTGTGTTAGGCCCAAAGAAAAGATATCTGACTCTGAATCATTCTGGGTTACAAAGGAGTTACAGGCTGCTCTCCTTGATTCTGTATCAACTAGAAAAGGATTATTATTCTGTACTATATTAGGGTTACAAGTAGAGTCTTTCCAGTAGCTAGTCTGATTGTATGAAGTCACAGATGGCGAAGTGTATGGCATTTCTTTTAGTTCCATAAAGGAAGAGTTATAATTTGAAGTAGTGTTTATGTCTTCCTCTCCTATCTCTTCTAATTCCGAATATTGGTAATAGTCATTATGTTCTTGAATGACAGAGCCAGAAGAATCAGAAGCTGAACTCTGAGAAGTGAAGGTACCACTCTGATTCCCATTTTCCCATGGTGATGAAATTTGAGGTGATTTTGTTGTGGAAGAAGAACTAATCTTGAATAAGGAAGTGATGCTACAAAAATGCTAAAAAAAATAGAAAATTAATCATTATACACTACAAACAAGTTTAGTAAACATAAATAATGATGCTTATTTATATGGAAAAAAGGAAAAATATAAGTAGTCTACCAATTATTACAATGATTCTGGTATTAAGAACATAAAATAATAAGTTTCTTTTAAAACAAAACTATAATTTGCATCTATTTTCTAATCACTTAGAATTGTTAAATAGCCTATTTTTCAGAACAGTTTTAGGTTCACAGCAAATATAATAGAATTTTTAGTTATATATTGTCTTCTTGATAAAAATTTTAAAATATTACCAATACAGCTAAAGTTCTTTTTACTGGTGTGTCAATATTGGAAGAGGTATTATAAGGACATGTTAATAGAGTACATAATTGAGTTATTTGTGGGCATAATAATATTTCAAAATGATTCAAAGTGTGACAAACTATGCTGAATTATCTATATAAGAGAGCCTCAAAATTTATAATATGATAGCTAATGAGAATTCTATATGAAGTATAGTTCAAGTAAATTATTTCTTTCCTGTGTGAAGTCCAAAACAAATTTGAATACCTTCATTCTGAAAAACCTAAGGTAAACATAGACCTTCAAATTGCAAGACAATAAACTCATTTAAGAATATTGATCTCAGGCGCCAGCCACATACACCTAAGGTGGCGGGTTCGAATCCAGCCCGGGCCTGCCAAAACAACAATGACGGCTGCAACCAAAAAATAGCTGGGCGTTGGGGTGGGTGCTTGTGGTCTCAGCTACTTGGGAGGCTGAGGCAGGAGACTCACTTGAGCCCAGGAGTTGGAGGTTGCTGTGAGCTGTGATGCCATAGCCCTCTACCCAGGGGGATAGCTTGAGGCTCTGTCTCAAAAAGAAAAAAAAAAAGAATATTGATCTCAAACAACTAACCTTTAACACTTTCTCTGGAACTTCAGGCAGGAGTTCCTGAAGTTGACACAAAGTTGCTATTAATATCCAGTGCAGGGAAGGTCCTTTATGTAGCATGAGCTGAGCCACCAGTGGGTTAATACATGGAAAATCAAGTAAGTACATTTCTTCCTAGAAAAGAGTTTAAGGAATAATCAGCCAACGGTCCCTTGAAAGTGATCCATTTTATTCTACTCACTGCACCAGATCAAAATTTTTGTCATTGCATCTACCACTCAATTTGGGATACTTGGGAAAAAATAAATGTTACCAGAAAAGAAATTCAAGTACATGTGTTTATATTTGCCTTGAAAATATTTAATTTATACATGTAGAAAATAAACCTTAGATGGTGAAACTTCAAGCCAGGACTTATCCAACCATTCATGAGGTTCTCTCTTTGAAGTCATTACACTGTGGTCAGCAATCTGTCGAATTATCAATGCTGTCTCTTCTACTCCTGGGGCAATTATAAGCTAAAAAAAATTTTATATGTTAGATTATTCAAAACATTATGAAGTAAAATGTAGAACTCAAAATGGTTTGTAATTAGAAGAGAAAATTAAAAAATAAATTTTAATTTTTAATACTATATTAGATATAATTTATTGATTTATCTATGTGAAATCTAGGACATTTTATTTATGAGTATAACCAATTTTTTCCTTCTTTAAATATGATATCATTATGTTTTTTAATTTTTAGAACTAAATTGTTTCCACTTTCACTTGGCATTTATTAATAAAGTCTTTAAAATATATTTAGTGTTGTATTTCATCTCTAGAAAAACAGCAATTTGAATATCATTAATAATGTTTTCTAGTTTGCATGGAAAAAATGACCTACTTTTTAGAATATTATGTAAAACTTGAAAAGCTTTTGGAATAGTCTGACCCATGTAGAAGCAGACATTTGCTTGGAATGGATTGTTCTTGGGGAGTACTCTTTCACCTCTGAATGCCTTTTTAGGAGCATGCTCTCTCTGGGCCATGTCATTGTACCTGAATACGGTATCACTCACTGCTATCATATGCCTGGCATGTAGAGGAAGAAAAAATTCCTAAAGCGTATCTTGCATATAACTATTTACTGTGAGCTGAGGAGAGAAGTGGCTAAATAAGTGGTCAAACCTCACTTGAATGGATAAATGAGACAAATTTACATTAGTCATTAATTTATTTAGATAATTTTTCTAAGAATTTTATTTCCTGGTTTAGTATACATCACAAGATCAAAAGTATCAAATAAATTATTTGTTGATTTTCTTAACAGGTTTGATTGAATTCTGCTTAGTAGTTGGATGTCAAATGTTTTGGCTTTGTACAAAGTACTGTGCTAACTGCTACAGGTTTAATGAGAAAAAAGACCTACTTCTTACCCTTTAGGTAGAAGTACATGAATAAATACTTCATACTATAATAAAGGTACAAAGTACTGTATTACTGGGAGAATGGGACAAGAAGAGTTTTATCTTGAGAAGGTATGACTGGAGCAAATTTCTTAAGAGAGCATATTTGAGCTATACAGCTAAAGATAGACATAACTCTGACAGCTTATGGTAAGGGGATGGAGGGAATAGTATTCTAGGGGAAGGGCAGGCCAGAATGATATGTTTATGCAATGTCTGGGAGGTGACAGTGTGGGAGGCATATTTAGAAAGTGGTGAATAAAATGATATTAAAGTAAAAATTAGTAAGGGTCAAATTGTGGAGGAATTTGATAGAGGGTTTTTGAACAAAAAATTTAACTCAACAGCAAATATTTATCAGAAGCATACTATGTACCTGGCATTGTGCAAGGTACCAAGAATGCAAGCGTGAATAAAGCTGTTTCCTTAACCTTAGAAGCTTATAGTCTAGGGAGTGAAATATTCACAACTGTATTTCAGAACTGTAATTGGTGTCTATATATGATAGATTGGAATGGGGAAAAAGTAGAAACAGAAATTAGTCAGGAAACTACTTTCAAAGCCAAGTGAAAGTCAATGAACGTCTGAATTTTGGGCTACAGCAGACATAGTAGCAAGAAAGATATATTATAGAGACACTGCAGACTTAGATTTAGCTACTAATTATATTAGACTAGTAATGCCATAAACTAAGCCTGGGAAAGGATGAGGGGTGGTGTTTTGGACAGGTAGAGTTTAAGGTTCTCAAGGGAGATTCATGTGGAGATTTCTAGTATATAGGTGCAAACCTTAAGAAATGTCAGGAAACATTTAAGAATTATACTCAGAAATGAAAGCTGTGGAAGCATCTGAGTTGGTAAAGAATATAAAGTGATAACAGCAGAATGCTGAGCCCTGAACTTGGACAAATGTCTTAATTTCAGAGCAGGACATTTTAAAATAGGGCCAAGCTTACAATTGTCAAAATGTGGAAACCAGCTCAGGAATGGATTAACAAGCTGTGGTATATGGGTATATGTATACCATGGAATACTATTCAGCCATTAAAAAATTATTCTACAAATTCATTTACAAAAATTATTCTTGTAAAGCATCACAAGAATGGTGAAGCAGGCTCGGTGCTTGTGGCTCAAGCAGCTAAGGCGCCAGCCACATACACCTAAGGTGGCGGGTTCGAATCCCCAGCCCGGGCCTGCCAAACAACAATGATGGCTGCAACCAAAAAATGGCCAGGCCTTGTGGCGGATGCCTGTGGTCCCAGCTACTTGGGAGGCTGAGGCAGGAGACTCGCTTGAGCCCAGGAGTTGGAGGTTGCTGTGAGCGTGATGCCATGGCACTCTACCCAGGGGGATAGCTTGAGGCTCCGTCTCAAAAAAAAAAAAAAAAAAAGAATGGTGAAGCATTAAGAATCTTATGTACTCAATTTTGATATGACAATCAAATGACCTAGTACATGATGGGGGGGTGGGGAAAGGGAAGAGCAGAGAGAGGAAAGGTAGGAGGGGGATGGGGGGGTCAGGAAGTGTGACACACCTTTTGGGAGTGGGACACAATTATAAGAGGGACTTTACAATAAAAATAAATAAAATAAAACAAAATGGGGAAACGCAAAGAGACTGATTAAAGATCACCAATATATTACCTTACTCATATGCCATAAAATTTCCATATTATACCAGACAATGACTTAGTATATCTTTCACAATGAACATTTTTGATCAAAAAAATATTTATTTTTATTCATATCCTACCATGTTTTAAAAAATCTACATAGTACTAAAGAGATAAAATATGATTTTAAATTTATTGAACTTAAAGGCTTTTACAACAGAAGTTTAAATGGTAAGATACTTATCAATTTTAAAATGTTGTTAGCATTCTAGAAGTTTTAAATTCACTCAGTTTTTTTCCACTGGGCATTTGAATACACTTTTGATTTATGAAATTTACTTATGAATAAATATATAGGAAAAGAATACCTTTACATCTAGTTCTTCAGAGTTTAGCCCAGATGAAACCAAAGCTGCATAAATCAGTGCTAGGTGATGAAGTGTCTTTTCTCTAAGTTGGTACCTACAAAGAATAATATTTTTATACTTCTACTCATTTGACATCTGATTGTATTTATTGAAAACTCATATTTTGTTTTCCACATTTCATAATATTATTAGAATAACCTGAGATAATGTTATTGCAGCAAACTCATATTTTTTTCTGTCCACTCTACACTCTTTTGAAAAAACATTTCCACCTTCATTCTTTAATAATCCTGGTAAATTTAGGGGATGCTGAGAGTACATGAGGTATGCGTTGTGGCAGAAGTTTAACCCATCCCCTTCTTGGGCCCAGGGATGGCTATATGAACAAAGCTTAGCCACCTAGACTATTCCATATCCTTAGGCAAAGTAACGGGTTCAGATGTGAACATATGACAAGTGTCAGAATACCTAGAATCGTTCCTTGGGTGTTTTTCCTGAACTGTTAGAAAAAGCTTTTTTTCTCTCTCTTTTCTTCTATGGTTTCTAAGCAGGTCAGCTGTGAGTGTTGAGCTGTGGGTAGATAGTTCTACCACTTTTACTCACTTTATGTACCCTAAGCAACAAAGTAAATTACTGGTTCATATTACTAAGGAGTCCGAAGGAAGACACTGTTGGATCCAGAGACTCAAAAAACCTCATTGAGATAATGGGACTCTTTATGTCTTGGCTCCTTTCCTTTGTATTGGCTTCTTTTTTAGGCAGGTTCTTTCCATAAGAATGGCTAATAAGAGTGGCTCACTGCACCTAAACTGTACAAACACTGTGATTTCTGCTGAACACTTGTTTTGAGTGGGGAACCTGCAGCCTTCTAATTTCAAGATTTTCTTTTTGGCTCGGCGCCTATAGCTCAACCGGCTAAGGCGCCAGCCATGTACACCTAAGG